TCAGCAGAGTTTAACATGGTTATATATTTATGTTTCAGTATAATTACGCACGCTATACCAGGGGCGGTTCTAAACCCTTTTTAGGTGGGTTTCAGCCCCCCTATCTGTCAGCTTAGCCCCCCAAAACTATCTTAACGATCAGGCCAGTGGTTTCTGACACCCGAGGACACATGCGATCTATGCGTCTTGGTGAGGAGCACACACGTTCGGCGCTCGAGGGCTCTGAATGCGCTCATTGTGACAAGTTTCCAATGAGAAAGCTCCATTCGCGTTTGTCCCTCTTCTCAAGGGATAAGGGACAAGCGTCTGTATCTCGTGGCTCACTCTGCAGAGAGGTTTGAGAAGGGCGTGGATAAGTGTGAATATGTGTTTGACTCTTGAGACAGCGGGATGCGCTCATGGTGATGCATTCACAGGGCTTCTGAGATCAAAGGTAAAGCTTTGCCTTTTACTCAAGATTGTAGACAGCATTTGCCTGAGCGAGCTCACCTCTTGAGGGAGTCGATCAAACTCAATGCAATGCGTTCGCGGCAGTTTCTGTTCTCGCCTGATTCTTGAGGAAATCTAGTATTTGAACAGAACGTGTTTGGCTCTCGGGGGAGCTAAATGCATGCTGCGTGATTCGATCGTGTTGAGAAATGCCTCGTATGCTTGGTGCTCTTTTGAGGAATGAGAATTGAGCACCTACTGCCTGTGGTTCTGGTCCCATGGCTGCCGAGGCAGCTAGGCAGAACGATCACGGGGATTGTATGCGGGGCATGGAAGGAATCTGACAGGAAGTGCTTTCCCTTTCAGGAGTTCCTTTCATTCTGTTCACTCCAGCGGGATAGTAGTCTGTCGGGGTCTGGCGTCTGGTGTTCTCCCTCTCACCACCAGAGGTCGCCAACTCCCATCCTCCCGGACTCCCTTTCCGTCACCTTGACTCAACACACCTGGGCACACACTCACACACTCACTCACACACAGCTGTGGCCGTTTTCCGAGGGCTATTTACGCGCCTTCCCCACGCCACTCGGCGCGGATGATTAATGTTTTGTTTCGGTGATTGACGCAGCCAGAGGTGGCTGCATTGCATCAGATTTGTGTATATGTTCTCAGGCTGTGTCTCAGAGTCTCAGCTCTGTTTTCTGTTTTTACTTTGTTTTCCCCAGCAGTTTAAATAAAGCCTGCACTTGGACCCAAACCCTCGTTCACACGGTGTGTCTTTCCTGACCCAGCCGTGACAGTAGTCAGCATTCGCACGAGCATGTCTTGTTCTCGAGGCACTCGGTGGGATCCAGATAATCTATCTCTTGGGGGTCATCTCATCCCCCTGATAGCACTACATTGGGCTCATCTGGTGAAAGTGGTTGGCGATAGAGATGAGCACTGAGAGTAAGCACTGAATCTCCCCAACCTAGCTCCAGTTTTGCATACGGGGAATGTTGGATGTAATGGCGCGCACTACTAAGAGGCTTGATTTAGTCTGGTCACACGAAAGGCAGAAGCCCGCCTGTGGCAGATTAGACGAGTGCTTTCTAGCCGGTCATGAACTCCCCTCCCCCAGGAGTCTCCCCTTGCTTCCTGACCTCCACACGGAGTTAGTGAGATTGTGGGACAAGCTATATTCAGCTATGTCCGCTAGAGGACGCAGTAAAATGATATTTTTAAAATATGTGTTTTCATGTATAAGATACATTCAAGTGAGGGTATCATTCCAGAGCAATTTAGAATGTATTTTAAAGTCAGTTCACAAGTTCACTGTCACTTAAGTCGTCAGTTTTCAGATTTTCATCTTCCTAAAATTCTCACTTTGGGTTACAAGTTAAATAAGCTAAAAATGTTTTTATCACCGTTTCCACAATAATCTTAAGTAGCAAAAACTGGTTTCAACATCAATAATAATAACCATTACTAATATCTGAGCACCAATAATAACTGGGCACCAAATCAGCATATTAGAATGATTTCTGAAGGATCATGTGACACTGAAGACTGAAGTAATGGGTGCTGAAAATTCAGCTTTGCCATTACAGAAATAAATTTAATTTTGACTTTATTTTTTTATGCATTTTACTGTATTACTGTAATATTGATTACAGAAATGCAGCCTTTTGAGCATAAGAGACTTTAAAAACATAATTATTCCAAATGCATGTCCTGCCAGTCATTCTATGTAAGTCCATACCTGTGTGTTAGTAGAGATGGTGGTCTCCAGGGCATTGAGTTGACTCTCAGTGGCTTCGGCTCTGCTCAATGCTCTTTCCACCCTCATGCCGATGGCCTCTATCCTCTCCTTCATCCTCTTCTCGCTGCCCATGAGCACCTGAGCTGCCCGTAAGGCTTGCGTCACCATGTCCTCCACTTTTCTCAGGGACTTCAGCAGGTCTTCTGTAGCTGAACGCTCTGCTGATGAGTCAGTGACCACAGCCACATCCCTAAACTGAATCTGAGTGTCGTCACAGGTGCTCGTTCCCTGGTCTTTGAGAAGCACCCTCATGCACCGCTTAGTCTCTTCCAGCTGGGCTGGTATGTGATTGACTTCCAGGCTTTGGATCCGCTTCTGAATATCCATCACAGTTGCTTGTGGAACTTGGGCAGCCTGGTATTTATTGCCCTCCTTAGTCTGGCCTCTCCACCAGGTGATGGCAGCCGCTATGTGGGCTTCCTGCGTCTGATGCTTGGCCTTGTTCTGTCCCTGCTCTGTCAGCGGAGTTTCAAGAAGCTCCAGCTCTTTTAGACTGGAAAGCAGATGGACATCATGCATCATGCAATGCAAAGCAATGTTAAAAGATGGCACAGGATAATGGAAATGATTTCTTACAGTGTGACCAGCTGACGCCTAGAACTTCCATGTTGTTGTTGGTTCTGCAGATAGAGTCTCTGTAACTTCTCACTTGCACTGTTGCCAACTTTGTCCTGAAGAGCAGATAATTTTAATTGTAATTGTAAAAACTTTATTGTCCCCCTTAGGGGCAATCTGTTCTGCAGCATGATAGATTTTTAATTTACCCCACATACCAGACAGACAATACACAACATTAATAGCATATTAAGAAAAACAAAATACAAAAAAGAAAGTACTACAAGTTTGAAATGACATGAGGATAAAATTAAATGTTCAAAATCTAATTATTATTTTTGCGTTGACTACAGTCTTAAATCAGTATCATTCAGATTATTATCATCGTTTTTTTAATTAACATTTTTAATTAGTTTATTTTGATATTTTCTGTTCCATTTTTAGTTTTAGTAATTTTGTTTTAGTTGTGTTTTTGTCATTTTTATTATTACTTTATTTCTATTAACACTAATTTTATTATTATTTGTATATATGTGTGTATATATATATATATATATTTTTTTTTTTTGCAGTTGTTTTAGTACATCAGATTAAACTAAATGATGCCAACGTTTCATTGGAAACTGGCTTAAAATAAGTTAACATTTTTTTATATTTTATTCTATTTCATTTAACATTTAAATTTACAAAAACAATGTTATGGTCTTAGTTTGAGTTAACTTTAATAACCTTAAGGTCTTTAATAACCTTAAGGTCTTTAATAACTTTAAGGTCTGATTCAGCAGGTCAGGTTTTCAATATTAGAAATAAAATTGTTGATGAAAAGTGAGAAAAAAACATTTTCATAATAACAACAGGACAACAACAATAATAATAACTCCAGGATTGCCTCAATGATTTTGCATTCATTTATTATGCACTTTTTAGGTATTTGAGTGAATTTAAGGTCTGATTCAGCAGGTCAGGTTTTCAATATTAGAAATAAAATTGTTGATGAAAAGTGAGAAAAAAACATTTTCATAATAACAACAGGACAACAACAATAATAATAACTCCAGGATTGCCTCAAGGATTTTGCATTCATTTATTATGCACTTTTTAGGTATTTGAGTGAATGCGATCAATGATAATACTATTAAAGGGATAGTTCACCCAAAAATGAAAATGTGATGTTTATCTGCTTACCCCCAGGGCATCCAAGATGTAGGTGACTTTGTTTCTTCAGTAGAACACAAACTGAGACTTTTAAGTCAAACCGTTGCAGTCTGTCAGTCATATAATGTCAGTGGATGGGAATCACAGCTTTGAGAGTAAAAAAAAAACATACACAAACAAAACCAAATTAAACTCTGCGGCTTGTCACGATACATTGACGATACGTCTGTGCAAGAAACTGAACAGTATTTCTATCGTTATTTTACCTCTGATGCACTGCAATGTCTGAACTGTCCTGAGCGTCGAGGATGAGCTCAGGACAGTTCAGGACAGTTCAGACTTTGCAGAGCATCAGAGGTAAAAAACGATATAAATACTGTTCAGTTTCTTGCACAGACAGATCGTTTTGTGTCTTTACACATCAATGTATCGTCACGAGCCGCAGGGTTTAATTTGGTTTTGTTTGTGTATGTTTTTTTGACTCTCAAAGCCGTGATTCCCATTCACTTCCATTATATGACTGACAGACTGCAACGGTTTGAGTTAAAAATCTTCGTTTGTGTTCTACTGAAGAAACAAAGTCACCTACATCTCGGATGCCCTGGGGTAAACAGATAAACATCAAATTTTCATTTTTGGGTGAACTATCCCTTTAAAGAAAATTTTTAAATATAAACAGACAATGATATAATTGTAAAAATGTAAATTAATAAATTGCAAAGACACATTTAGAATGTGAAATATAACCAGTGACACTGATTACATATTGTACTGATACTGTACTATCACTAAGACTAATTACATAAGCACATCATGATTATTGATGGGTTTTCACTGTAAAACAACACACACACACACACACACACACACACACACACAAAACAAATGTTGCAATTTTCAGAAACACTGCAGCAGTTATTTTGCATAACCCAAAATAAGGAAAAGCCCCACAAAGTTCTGGATAATGATGATAATGATGGGTTGAATAATGATAATGACGAAGAGGAGGAGGATGATGATGATAATAATAAAAGCTGTAATTATTTTAGTAACTTCAGACAAAGCCACCAGTAAATAATGTGGATGTTGTGTGAATGTTTCTCACAGTCTCTGAGAGCTGTGCATGGAGTATATGGGATATCTCTACAGGCTTGATCTTCTGGAGGTTTTGAAAGTCTCCTCTCTGAGGGACTCTGGGTAAGATCTGCCTCAGTGAACCACTAATCAACTCCATAGGCGCATTCTGGGACTGAAAGAAAAAGAAGAAGAGAGCATATAATGTACAGCCATTACATTTGTGGCTTCTACGTGTAAATTGTCTAACTCTCTGATGCATGACCTTTGATTCACAGTGCGATTCTACATCTAAAAACCACCACGCGTGATTATGTTTCACCGTTCAGTTTAGATGCTGACTATGTAATGAGATTAACAGCACGATTATGCGAATGAGTGTTTTCAAACACACAATTAGTCAAGTAACTTACATTTTAAAGACATATTGCCAGCTCATTTGCCTATTTTTGGGCCGCCAACGAAAACCAAAACAGAATCAATACAATACTGCTGATTCGGGGAACAGGTAGTTTTGAATCGAATGATTCAAAGATTCGCTCAAAAAGACATCACTTGACGCCACCTACTGGCGTAAACACAAAAACAAAGCGATTTAATTTTTGTGTAATAATATATTAATTGTAGACAAGTTTTATTTACACAAATGAAGATTTGTTAAAGTTTCTCCATTTTTTGAGGCATTTAAAAATGATTAAACATTTTTTTAATGAAAAAAGAAGAGTGTCTTATAACTCTCTAAATTACTGGCCGCGTGGATTAACCCCCGGAAATGTAATTTAATTTGCTTCACATGTTTTGATATTATTTTCACTTTTATTTATTTTTATTATTATTTTTGTATTATGTATAATTGTTTTATTATTTTATTATGCACTGTATTATTGTGTTCATGATATGCTGCTTGGATTTATTGTTGATGTGTTCAACAATGGAAAGATGACAATGTCTGTTTGTTATTTGAAAGGTTTAATAAAGTGGTAAAAATGCACAATAAACCGAGGACTGGAATTGTTTTAGTGTCAACTTAAAGCAACTGTATGTAAGCTTTTCACCTTGAAATATCAGTCTAAAAATCACTCTGATAGTACACTTCCAATAAGGCGAATAGCTTCTTTCCCACACTTTCCCACATTGTGGGCAATGATAGCTGCTGGAGTGCACATCAGTGTCTGAAATTAACGGGGACTTGGGGCAAAAATGCCACCAAAATGCACAAAAATGTCCCTCAAATGTAACATTTAGGCTTGATTTTGTCATGATTTTGCACCTTCACCCTGTAATGAGTTCCTGTCTTTTATTTTTATTTTTTAAAACATAAATGCCATGTCAGATGCAGCTTATTTAATGGCAAACATGTTGAAGATTAGGCTGTCTATTCATTAATGTTATAAGCATTATATTTCATCTCCAGCAGCATTGTGAACTTTTATAAAGATACGTTTGGTCATTAACTTTTAAATAATGAATGCATCAGGGAGTTCTGTAAGCGTATAGTCCAGCAGTATGTGAAATAGACTGTTACCGGTTGAGCTTCCTGAAACTCACGGTGCAGAGACTGATGGTTTGTCACACCTGTCCTCTGTGGACCATGAGAGCTGACGTGGTATTTATTTAACCTGCCAAAAAAAAAAAAAAAAGATTAAGAAATGAATTAGCAAAAAAAGTGCAAGCAACTAAGCTATGAAACAAAACTAGGCTTTAGTTACATTTTTATCTCACAATTAGATAAATATCCCAAGTTCTATAATCTTGATGATTATCCCAGAAAAAAATACTTTTCCCATGGGGTTTTGTCTAAACAGTGCAAGCTCTAAAAACATGGAAGCTCAATTTACTGTAGTAGCAATACAATCAAACAGTTGGTGTTTCTGAGTAATTTTAATTGCATAGGCAATCATTTTGAGCATCACAAATGATACTTTTTTGCTGCTTTTCACAAGTACCAATTGTTTTTTCCTGCTAATGAAACAACAGACTGACGGAGAGGTGCCTCGGTGGTGTTTACCTGAAGAGTGCTTGCTGTGAGTGCTCTTGTAGCCTCATCAATTCTGACTGCAGGCCCTTCAGATGCATTAGCAGACAACAGAACACCATTACTGAACAGCCAAACTATTCTTTCACAAGCATATACTCAAAACAATGGAATACCTCAATAATTTTGTGACTTTCAAAGTGAGTGTCCTTAAGCTTTTCCAGCAGGATGTTTTTCTAGGTGGAATAAACAACACGTGCCATAAAGAAAGACAAAAATGTACTCAATACAGTAAAATCAATCATCACAGAGTTTAATATCACCTTTGTAAGGTCCCTGTCTTTCACAGCCAGTACCATATGAGATTCTTCTAGTTCTCCCTGTGAACATCATCAGACTGTATTAATACTCTAGCTCACTCGGTGGCGCAGTAAAATGCACATTTTCTCACCCTTAATTCAGAGGTTTCTCTTCTCAGTTTGTTTATTCGATCTTCAGCAAGGTGCCTCTCAAGGGTTAATTTTTCATTCTGTGGAAGATATTGTGATTTAGCACAATATTTGGAAAAACTTGTTCACAATGTAAGATTCTATCAAAGTCAGTACCTTTTCTTCAGTTATTTTGATTAGGGCTTTCAAGCGTTCACTTTCCTTTATCTAAAAGACAAATGTCAAGTTACTGGGTATTAATAGTAATTTATGAAACCAGTTTTATCAGTATTAATAACTTCAAGAGCGTGAATGATTCATACTAAGGCACAGTTGCTGGCCTGTGCTCTTGCAGCTCTGTCCTGGCTCTCCCTCAGTGCACATCTGGTTTCATCAAGGTCCTCTGAAAGGGATCGGGCTCTTACCACAAACAGCTGGGTACTGGTGACATTTGCAAGAAAAAAATACAGATTTTATATATATATATATATATCAGTTGTATTGCTGACATTGTATATTACATTTATTTATTTATGGCATTTTATAATGTATACACATTTTTTCTAGTTATGCCAAGCTCTATTTTTTTCCAATCCTTAATCTACCCAAAATTCACCCCAAAATGAAAATGTCTGAAAATGTATTCAACCTAAGGCCATTCCAGATGTTGATGAGTTAGTTTTTTTTTTATCAACACGGATTTGGAGAAATTGAGCATTACATCATTTGCTTACCAGTGGATCCTCTGCAGTGAATGGGTGCCGTCAGAATGAGAGACCAAACAGCTGATAAAAACATCCCAATAATCTACAAGTAATCCACACCACTCCAGTTCATCAAGTAACATCTTGTAAATGTAAAAGCTGCATCTTTGTAAGACACAAATCTATCATTGAGGTCAAAATATGAATCCATAATCCATGATAACGCTTCCTCAAGTGAAAAAGTCCATCCCCTGTTGAACTCTCACATCAAAATCTACAAACATATTTGTTTAGAACTGGTTTGGACTGACCAGATGACTTTTTCACTGGAGAAAACAATATTATGGATAGAGGACTCACATTTTAGCCAAAAACAATGGTTTGAAATTCAATGATCTTAATGAATTTTTTTATTCTTCATTTTTTTATTATTTATTTTTTTTACTTTTCTTTTTACAAACGCAGCTTTTCACTTTACAAGACATTAATTGATGGACTGGAGTGGTGTGGATTACTTGTGGATTATTATGATGTTTTTATCAACTCTCATTCTGACGGTGAATGGGTGCCGTCAGAATGAGAGTTGATAAAAACATCACAATTGAATGGGTGCCGTCAGAATGAGAGTTGATGAAAACATCACAATAATCCACAAGTAATCCACACCACTCCAGTGATGTAATGCTAAATTTCTGCAAATGTGTTCAGATGAAGAAACAAACTCATCTACACAAACTATTCCTTTAATTAAATGAATTAATATATTTAATTTAGTATTAAGTGTAGCGAACATTCCAGTGATATCTGTCAAGTCGTATTTCTATGCATATACAGTATAAACACACACAGATAGTTTTTGTGTGTGTGGGAAAAGAGGTGCATATAGTGGCTACCTGGCCAGTTTGGTGTGCAGCTCTGATACCTCCAGACTGAGCTGCAGGATGGTGTCCTCACACTGAGAAACGGTCCTCAGCAGGCTGCTGTTCTGCTCACTCAACCTGTGTTGAGTGTGTTTGAGCTCAGCCACTAAACCTGACAAATCTTCAGATTCACTGAAACCACACAGAATCATCAGAGACAATTGCTGATATCACAGATGCTCTTAAAGACCCAATGAAATCAAGTGACAAGTGATGTGACATGTGGCCAAGTATGGTGACCCATACTCGGAATTAGTGCTCTGCATTTACCCATCCAAAGTGCACACACACACCGTCAACACACACCCAAAGCAGTGGGCAGCCATTTTTTTTGCTGCGGCGTCCAGGGAGCAGTTAGGGGTTCGGTGCCTTGCTCAAGGGCACCTCAGTCGTGGTATTGAAGGTGGGAGAGAGCGCTGTACATTCACTCCCCCCACCTACAATCCCTGCCGGTACGAGACTCGAACCCGCAACCTTGGGTTACGAGTCCGACTCTCTAACCATTAGGCAATCAAGAAAACACTTGTCAAGCAGTAGTAAAAAGAACATTAAAATTACTTAACTAACCAATGACATTCAGCTCCATCTGTAAATGTGGCCTCATTTAAAGGAAGATGATATTCAGTCCCTATGGGAATAATGTGAGACTGGTTTAAGAGTAAAGTTTAAAGTGTCTCAGTTACAAAAAAAGCAAAAACTTTTATTCAGCAATGATGCATTAAATTGATCAAATGTGTCAGTAGAGACATTTATAATCTTTACAAAAGATTTCCATTTCAAATAAATTCTGTTCTTTTGAACTTTGTATTCATCAAAGAATCCTGATAAAATCATATTAGAATGATTTCTGAAGGATCATGTGGCACTGAAGACTGGAGTAATGATGCTGAAAATTCAGCTTTGCATCACAGGAATTTAATATTTAAAATATATTCATATAGAAAACAGTCATTTTAAATTGTAATATTTCAAAATATTTTCTTCCAAAAAACTTTTGAAGAGTGTGTAAACTTTCACTATTATTCACTTACCAGTTACAGATAATTTTCTTAAGGTTGATCCTGTTTCCGTTTTTTTATTCTCAGATGCCCTGTACATAAATCAATGTTTAGTAAACTTTATAATATCTCTTCTTAAAAGGAGTCACATTACATCATATAAAGCCACAACCTTGACATTGTGTTTTTGACAGCATCTCTCACCCATCTTGGCAGCACTGTGTGATCCACTCTCTCATGGTGGCATGAAACATATCCCTACTAACAGGTGGGTCCTGGTTCTCTGGATCCAACATGTGTTGTAAATTGGTCAGCTTGTCCTGGCCGGAGCTTTGGAGGGTCATGGACTGAAGATACTGCACAATGGTGGAGGCCTGAACCTCTCCTGTAGGTAACAGAGATATACCATTCAATTGGAGTCTGTAAGATTTTTGAAAAACATTTTAAAATATATATATTTTTATTATT